AGAGACAATCCAGTTACATGCCAGTTTTCTGTTTTTTTAGACTGTCAAAATCCCTGTTTTACTCAACTACACATGAAGCTATCATGACCATGTAGCTAAATAATGGTCAAGGAGATAAAGCACAAGTGTGTGGGCTCTTGGAATTCCCAAAGGGGAATGAACATGCCCTCCTTTTACCCTCTTTCTTCCTTCTGTATGCTGTCAGATGTGATGGCTGGATTTTAAGCCATCATTTTGCACCATGAGGTGACATACTAAGAAAGAAGCAATAGCAAGTTAGGATCCTGATGACTCAGATGACATATTAGTCCTGGATTACTCATCTCTGGGCTACTTTTATATGAAAGGGAAATAAAATTCTGTCTTATTGTATTAGTTTTCTATTGCTGAATAGCAATGTACTGCAAACTTAGAGGCGTAAATAACAGCTGTTTATTATCTCAGGTTCCATGAGTCAAAATCCAGGTATGGGTCAGCTATGCCTTCTACTAAAAGTCTCAGCAGTCTGAAAACAAGTGGTTGGCTGGGGCTGCAAGCTCATATGCTGCTCGCTGGTTGTTGGCAGAATTCAGTTCATGGTGGTTTTAGGTTGGGAGCCCACATTTTCCTGCTAGTCATCAGCCAGAAATGACTCAGAACTTGGAGACTGTCTTTAACATATGGTCCCCTCCATAGGCCCTCTCAGAGTGTGGTAGCTTACTTCCTTAAGTCCAGAAGGAAATTCTCTGGTGTTGTGCCTCAAATCTCTTCTTTTAGGAAGGGTCTAGTCTTTTTTAAGGGCTCCCCTGATTAGGTCAGGCCCACATAATTAGGTCAGGCCCACCTAAAATATTCTGTTCATTAGCTCAAAGTCAATTGATTTGGTACCTTAATGGCATCTATAAGATCTCTCTACCCTTGTCCTATAACTCAATCATAGGATTGAAGCCCATTATAGTCACAGCTCCACAGTGAAGTGGAGAGGCTTACACAGAGAACATATATTCAGGGAGAGAGAATCTTTGGGGCTATTTTAGAATTCTGCCTAGCACTCTTGTTTCAGTTATTATTATTTTTCATATATACTTACAACCAAAACTCATCCTAAGTTGATGTTTAAATTTCATGCAGGAATGTTTGTTTAGATAAATACAAGGGGATTTCAAAACATTTATAGAAAAATTTGTATTATCTTTCTATTCTTTTTTTTTTGTCCTTTTTGAGACCGGCCGCACCACGCTCAGCCAGTGAGCACTGTGAGCGCATTTTTCATATATACTTACAACCAAAACTCATCCTAAGTTGATGTTTAAATTTCATGCGGGAATGTTTGTTTAGATAAATACAAGGGGATTTCAAAACATTTATAGAAAAATTTGTATTATCTTTCTATTCTTTTTTTTTGTCCTTTTTGAGACCAGCCGCACGGTGCTCAGCCAGTGAGTGCTGTGAGCGCACCGGTCATCCCTATATAGGATCCGAACCTGCGGCGGGAGCGCTGCTGCCTCCCAGCGCTGCACCCTCCTGAGTGCGCCACGGGCTTGGCCCTCTTTCTATTCTTTTTTCCATGAACGTTTGATGTACCCTCGTATGTATATCTCCCATCACAAACAGAGTTTTTTTACCAAGTATCTACACATATATATGAACTTCTGTTTTAGATGCTAGGAAATTCAGTTCTAAATTGATTGCACAAATACAGTAATAATTTTGTAACTTTTTTTTTTTTTTGGCAGCTGGCTGGTATGGGATCTGAACCTTTGACTTTTGTGTTTTAACACTGTGCTTTAACCAACTGTGTTAACTGGCCAGCCCTGCAATCATTTTGAATGAACTAGGATACTTGTCTTCTTGTGTTTCATGTCTTTCTGTGTTTAAAAAACCTTATTCTACATTGTGCTTAATTTTGCAAATCACCTCAAATTGTTTTTTGAAACCATAAGAAATAACAATACGAAAAATAAGTAAATGTAAATGTAAATGGAAGGTGATGGAGTTTGGATGTATTGTCCTCCCAGAACTCATGTGGAAATTTGATCCCCAGTGTGGCAGTTTGAGTTATAGGGGCAGATCCCTCATGAATGGGTTAATGCTCTCCCTGGGGGTGAGGGTCTGGAGTGAGATCTCACTTTATTAGCTCCCTCAAGAGCTGGTTGTTTAAAAGACACTGGCACCTCCTCTCTCTCTCTCTCTTGCTTCCTCTCACCATGTGATCTGCTTGTACCTGCCGCTGTCTGCCACTTTCCACCATGAGTAGAAGCAGCCTTAGGCCTGTGCCAGATGCAGCTGTCCCAAAATCATAAGCCAAATAAACCTCTGTTCTTTATAAAGGGTTAATGCTCTCCCTGAGGGTGGGGGTCCTGAGTGAGTTCTTGCTCTATTAGTTCCCGCAAGAGCTGGTTGTTCAAATGACCCCGGCACCTCCCCTCTCTTTTGCTTTCTCTCGCCATGTGATCTGCTTGTACCTGCCGGCTGCCTGCCACTCTCTGCCATGAGTAGAAGCAGCCTGAGTCTTGTGCCAGATGCCACTGTCCCAGAATCATAAGCCAAATAAACCTCTGTTCTTTATAAATTACCTAGTCTCAGGTATTCCTGTTACAGCAACACAAAATGGACTAATACACAAAGCCACGCTCTAAACAACTGAGCTAACCAGCCAGCCCCTCAGTGCCATTTTAAACTGCAAGATGAAATATAAAGAAATGGAACCCATGAGTAATTCCAACAAGAGGGCTTCAGAGACATCTTTACAAGTTGTGCTAACACAGACACCCAGAGTGCCGCTATGTAGTAGAGGGATGAGGGTGACCATGGGCCACACAGGCTGAAGACATTTCACAAACACTTTCCAAAGAAATTTAAATAAGATACCATGGCCACTGCCTGATGGAAACCGTCATAACAATGAGCATTGCAGCAATCAGAAACGGGATGTTTCACTTTGAACAAAAGCCTCAGGAGACATTCAGTGCTTATTACACAATTCCCATTGAGTTAGTGACTATTTGGAAATGGTCTGCTGACTCTGAATTACCCAGCCCTTTTTTACTTTACGAGTCTGCTACAGAAAAGTTGTCTAAATGTCAGTTTGTTGTATGGAACAGATGTAATTGCCTGTCTCCTGCATTTAAAAATCACAGATACTCAGAATTTGATGGAATTTAATAGTCATCTGGTCAAATCTTCTATTTTACTTATTCAAACTTGATCATCATAAAAGTCAACAGTTGCCATAAAAAGAACTTATTCACTTGAGGAATAATTTTTACTCTTCTGAGTGGATCAAGAATTACTGACATAATTCAGCAATGTCCTCTACTTAATAAATACATGACAAAAATAAAACATTCTGTTTCTGCTCAGTTTATTTTAATCACAGGTGGAGGGAAATAACTGTTTAACTGATACAAATCCCTGTTGAATGTGCTCAGCTCCAGCATGAACCAACTCTTGCAGCGATTATTAACATCTTCCATGAGGGGAAGAGCACACATTCCCATCATGTGAAAGGGCTTTCAGATTACTTTGCTAAGCGTTTCTAGTCTCAATTTGTCAGTGCTTCACATTTCTGTGGTCCTTTCACTTAACATCATGTCAGTACATCTACAGAAAAACAAAATTTTTTGACAGCCAAATTAAGCTTTAACATACTACAAATGTTCAAACACCCACAAATTCAGCTCATACTCAATAATGGGTATTTTCAAATTCCAATATTGAGCCCTCTGTATATATGTGTTTAGTGTGTGTCAAGGGAGATACTGCAAAACAAACCCTCTGGTGCTACTAGAGTATTGATATAAACTGGAGGAGACTTAATTGAATTAACCAGCTCCTTTATTTCATACTTCTTTTAGTACATTCATGAACCAGATAATCTCTTAATTCTTAATAAGTTATGTAACCTTATCTTCTGGACATCAAATTAGTTCCCATTATCTGATTACGATTGAATAAATGGTTTAATAAGACAGAAAATTTAAGATGTATGGGCCCAGTAGCCTAGGTTGTGGATATCCAGTGTATATATATTAAACTAATAACTTTGGTTCAAATATTTTTCATCCTTACTGAATTTTTCAACTTTACTGAGTTGTTTAGTTCCTATAACCAATATAATGAGTCATAGGCACGTTAGCTAAAAACCTTCTATGACTTCCTTGGCTTACACTAGTTTTATATCAATTTTAATAGTAGCAGAAAAAAGCATCTTTAGTATGATAAACATTTTCTATAACAGTTACCTTTCCATGGAAGTCTAAAATGTTATCAATGGGTTATTTATTGTAACAATAGTAGCCTTAAGCCTAAAGCTAGTCCTGCAAAGAATAAAAATTGAGCTAAGAAATTCTTCATGGAAATTCTCCATTTGTATGTGCATTGGGAGGTGGGGGAGTGCAGTATAGAAGCATGTTCCATTCAGCCATAGCCTCCCCATGGACAGTCCTCTCAGTTTAATAATTTCTTATGGACTATGGCAATGTTTTAAACTTCATCACTACTTTCCAGTGGAGTGTATATGGTCCAGCTGATGTGAAACAGACGTCACTAACAATCAAAGGGAAACACTGTTTCCACCAGGCCTGTGTCTTGTAAGAGACACTTCAGGACTGAGAATTTTCCACTGTGGCCCTTGCACACCTTTATCCCACACAGCTGTTCCTCCCCCACCCCTTCAGCACACAACTTTGGTTCCTAAATATTTCTCTCCAACCCTCTTGACAAAATCCAGATTGTCCAAAGAATGATGCTAATTTCAAAGAACAATTCCTCCATCCCCAAATCTAGCTGAACTTTGGCAAGTCATTCTTCCCTAAGGACAAGAAAATCTCCCCCTCTTTTCCCAACTCAGGTGCTCCTTTAAAGACTTTTCAAGTCAGGCGTTTTTGAATAAAGGCTTATGCTAATGATGATCTGGTTAATTTTCTTCAACATCAATTCTACAAGATGGTATGCAAATGGAAGGACCATAAAATACATTTGTGATTTCACATGCAGACATGCTTTTTATTTGCACACTTTCTAATTTAAAAAGTTTCCCTTAAGTTTCACAATAAAAATGTAAACTTTGGGCCATTAATCAAATATATCAGTTTCCTTATAAACCAACCTCTTCAGGCTCAATCAGTTTAAATTCCATGCCTCGACCAGTCCAAGCAATGAAATGAGAATTTGAAGGGTCATCCAGAAGAGCTACCAAAAACTGCCAGAGCTGAAGTGATCCCCGCCGCTGGTATGTGGGTCCTTCCCGATACATTCCTGGCTCTTGTTTGATGTCCCCTAAATTAAAAAAATTTAAAGTTTCTATTATTAGCAATATAATACCATTTACATAAAATTTACATTAAATCCATCACTAAAATGGTTAAACCACAATCACATTACGAGTTTCTATGAAATAATATGTTACCATTAAATAGAAATTAAAAATAGTTAAACAGTGGAATGTAAACCAGCAATATGTACAAATTTACAGAAAACTATATATAACATATACAGGTCAATATAAATGCACACAGGTGCAGAATAAATCTCGTATCAATATAAATAACATGCAGATGTCATTCACTTACAAGTTTTATATTAACTATCTTTTTTTTCATTGATTTCTTTGAAAATCATAGTACCTAATCACATATCTTTGCTTTTATTGTTAGTGCCATTAATTACTATTCTAAGCAACAAAGAAGGATAATCAATTTTAAGCTCTGGGCATTTTATCTGTACAAACTAAATTCTGCAAACTAAAATTTGTAAATACCTTATTTACATGCACATGACTCACTATTGAAAATTTTAATGCAAATATTTCAAAGCTAATTTAATAATATATTAAATTTGGAGTTACGTAATTTGCACTTTATATAAATTGGAAAAATCTCGTGAGTAATTCAAGCCATATTGGATTAACATTGTACCATCTTTCCTCCACACCTTCACATACCTTCATACTAGAGCTACCACTTTTTCAACTAGCAACAAATGAAAATTGTTTGTTATTTTTCTTTACCTCTTGTTTGTATTTCACTCACTTGAATTTAGCTTGCTATTCTTTTTCTAAAAGTCCAGTTTAAAAATGTATATGCCAGAGTTTTCTGTAAATAGATATTCTTAAGCAAGAAAGGTTTGTCTGTAGTACATTTATTTGGTATTAATATGTAGTGTAAAATCTGTTAAATAGATTATGACAATAAAGGTGTTAGTGTTACAATATTTTTGGTGTAAATCTGATCAGTTATCTTGATTAAAAAGAAAAAAAAACTCAGTTTCATGACTACTGATTATTTACTTCTATCTGCAGCCAATCATCTCAAAAAAATGTGGAATTTGTTATTTGGAGATTGAATGACTAGGTCCCTATAAGTATATCACTGTTAATGCATGAAATTCTCTTCTCCACTAAAGAGACAATTCAGACAATATATTCAAGTTGATCTATTTATGCTAAGTGGAGACTATAAAGCTTTCTAAAACTTTCTTTGTTAAGTACAGAGAAATATACCTCTTAAAATAATTACAGAAAGAACAACACTAAAAACCTAAACCAAAATATAAAATTATTCAGTCAATAGTTGCTAAAAATCATTATATTGTTTGGTTTTAACTAGAAGTGTACCTTAATATAGAAGGGTATGTTCGTATTGATATAAATGACAGTTTTATTTATCTCCATTTTTCCTTCTGAGATTTACAAATTTCTTCATGGAGGTAACTGAGCAATTATGCAGACAGAGTGAGACAGTGTTAAATTTTATAGTCTCTATATTGCTTCTGCCTATAAATGTAATAGATCGCACTGGCCACATACAATGAAAAAGTACCTCCCTCATTTTTCTTTCTTCTTGTTTTCCATTACTTATAAAATATAAGACAAATACTATCTTCCAAAAAATGTTTTCTTAGTATAAAATTGAAGAGTCTTTAAAAGTCAAAGGGAATAAATAATCAAGACAGCTAGTTCTCTAAACATTAGTGAGACTATGGCCTGCCAGATTATATCATAATTCTGTCTATAGTTTTGAGATTTTTTCTTCCGTACATGCACTTACTAATTTTCAAGATTTCTTAAACAAGAAGCTCACCCAAAATGAGAGAAACTGATGAAGGTCATTCCAAGAAGTAGAGAATTTATGCTTTGTCTCAAGAAAAAGGTGTATTTTAAGAATTGTGATAATCTGCTAAAGGTGTTAAATAGTACAGTTCACACCTCTGAAACACAAAAGTTAAAGCTAACATGTATTGTAGAATAACGCCAAAAAAGTGACCCCTGTTGGGATTTTAACCCTGTAACCTTGCATGAATTTAGGAATTTAAAGAGGAGCCAAGGAAGCAGATCCAAGACTTACCATCCCTTCTGAGAAGTGTAAGAGTAGCAAAAAGCTCAGCAACCTAGGATAGTCTTCAAGCAACTAATTAGAAATTGAAAAGCAATCTAAGCATGTACTTTGGTGTTTAAATAATGACAATTAAAAACTTCTGAGAGCTCTCAAGTCATTATAGCCATGATCCCCAAAGTTTGTACAATCAGCTAATCAGAGGGCCCTTGCTCGTTTCCTGTTAAACAATCAAAGCAGGAAATATGGAGACCATTCTGAAGAACCACTAAATCAATTAACTGTTCACTTTCTACCCAAGCTTCCTTGTAGATGCCAACTCTTGCCACTCTTGTCAAGAAAAGATTCTATCTAACTTGACACCCTTTTCTAACATCTGGGACCTTTTCATTGCAATAACCAGTGATATTAAAAAGGTAATGCTTTCCTAATTCCCTTTTAAGCAATTATAAAGTAATGCTACATTAGTAATATACATTTTCCCAGAAAAAACAAACAAACAAACAAAAACGGACTAACAAACACTAACTAAATGGGCAGTTATGTTGTTCCTGTGTTCCTTAATGCATCACTTTTCATGAACAATGAAAGAAAGGAGGCTGCATTAGTCATCATGCATCCATAGTAGCATGCTTTCTTCTCTGCTTTGTTAATTACAGGATCAGCTTTCAATAAATCTCAAATAACAAGCTGCATGTGCTCAGCAGGGCAATGGAAAAAAATTGACTCTCATAGGACAAAAGAAAAACATTTCTTAATGAGGGAAGAAAAGAAAATTTGTAATAGGTCAAGTTTAGCTAGAATTGAATGTATGATAAAAGATGTACATAGAAGTCTTTCAGTGTTTTTAACTGTTTTTAGAAGAGGCAAGGGTGATCTCTCCACTCCCTCTTACAAAAGTCAAAACTTGAAGTACAGTGAAAAACATACCATCAAATTTCTCTGGGACAACACAGGTGTCGTCATAAAATTGCCGGGGGCCCTTTTCAAACATACAGCCTGTGGGGGGAAATGAAATGTATTTTTATTTGTGATAGAAATAAAGTGCACAAACACTTTAAAATAAACCATTAACACTGAAATTGTGGTAGAAAATGACTCTGCCACTTTTCTTTGACCCTGCACACATTATTTAACTTCTGTGCCTCAGTCTCCTCATCTATAAAATAAAAATGACAGTAACACAACCTGCCACTTTATAGGGTTGTTGTGAGGATTAAGTGATTAAAAATATGCAAGTTTAGAATGGTGCCTAGCACACAGTGATACAAAGTTAGTTATTTATATTTCTTACTAACCCAAGCACACAGCTCGAGTAAACACAGTCAAACCTAGGATTTATAATGTATCACCTCCTTTTCCAGTTTCTTCTACGTTTCATTATTCAATGAGAAGAAAGGGAAATCAAAATGAATTACTGGTATTTACCACGCATTATTACCCTGATGCTAGGAAACAGATTTGTTTTACCCCCTTACTTCCTTGTAGAAATATTTAGGTAGGCTAAACTTCTCTTCTTCAATAGCAAAGATGGGGGTTGGGGGAACTTTCCTCTTTTTTACTGTAATGTAACTAAGTCCACAGAAAAAAATGCAAAATAAATCAACAGTTTTTTACAATCATTTTTTTTCCCCAAATATCCTTGGCTGTGAACCTTAATCTAATTGTTATTATCTTTAATTTCCAGGAAGAAATTTCATAGTTTTATTTCTCAAATGAATTGGTCTCTATGGTACGTATATAATATTAACAACAGCAGCAACAGTAATCACATTGCGTTTGTGCAAAACTTTTGATCTCAAATATTTTGGATTTACTATCCTATACTATCCTTTGAACTTCTACTTACACCATTCATACAAAATAATATCAGACCTTAAAAGATACATTTAAATCAGTCTTACTGATAGAGTGACTAGGTCAAGAATCATGCACCTATTTCCAGAAATCTGTTAATGGGGATTTTATCCAGATGAAATCATTTTTATCTGTTACTCTGCAGGTATCAACATCCGCTAGAGCAAAGCCTTCCCACCAGGATTACTACAAACACATCCACAATAAAAACATCTTCTCTAGGTTTCTATGTGAAATCTCATTTTTAACAATTGCTTGTCCCAAAATGTAAAATCTAGGATATTTAAAGGCAAAAACCTTTAACTCTACTGTGTTTTACTTCAAAACTACAACTTAGCCTGTAAAAGAGAAACTGAATATCCCTCGAAGATACATTTCAGTAGAGGGCAGTGAGGTGGACTAATCTATAAAGCATATATTCTAGTTTAAAAGAATGTGGTTGCTGGCAAAAAAGAACACAGAAATCCACTTTTCAGCTGTTTCTATGCATATGACTCGTGTTAAAAACTAGATATAAGATATCATGACCTGAAAAATCTTCCTTTTACTTTAAAAAGATAGTTTTAAAATAATGGATTAGGGAACATAAATTATCCCCCCCCCCCAAAAAAAATGATTAATTAAGTGACCTCATACTTAGTATGCCTGATTATTTTGAAAGGCATTTACAAGAAATTTCAACAATGGAAAACTTAACTTCTGTCCTGCTGGGGTGAGCCAGGAAGCCTTCTTGCCTCATATATATGGAGTGGCAGCTAGGCACTTCTGAAAGAGGAAACAACATTGGTCAAAGAAGATTCTGGAGTGGAAAAGGTGCTGTTATCAATGGACAGGGTGTAGATAGAAGAAAAGGTACAGAAACTGACACTAGTTCCCATGAGGGGAACCTGTTAACGTGCAGTTAACATTTCAGGAAGGTCCCACACAAGACATGGAAGAATGGGAACTATATCACGGCAAACATCATTTCTCTTGAACAGGCATATGAATTCAAAGCTTTACCCAAATCAACCTTGCTAATAAGGTCAGTTGTAACAGCAACCCTGCATAAATGTGGTGTCCTCAAAACAGCATCATGGATTAGAAATATGTTTCAAGATATTTCAGAATAAATTTGTATATGCCATGGCATTCTACGTACAAAGCAAAAATCAACAAAAGGCTCATTCATAGTTTATTTCATGAACACTAACAAATTATGATGAAAATATAAATAGCTAAATCTCTTATATTACTTTAGCCTTTTAAGATGATTGTTATTTCTTTTTCCCCAGATAAAAGCATGTCTGGATTTTCATTTTGTTAAGCACATAGGTCATGTTCAAAACCAATGAGGATCTAAAACAGAAATCCAACAATTCCATAGTAGACACTGTTATTGTCCTAAGAGTAAGGGCTTGTCTATGTGACCAAATTAACTCATCCCTGAGAAAATAAACTTAGTTAATGGCAATACTTGACTCGTAGCGGTGGTTCTTTATAGTAATTTAGAGATGGGAAAAAGGAAGGAAATATGGATTAGGAGACAAAATACTAAAATTCAAGTCCTTCACTTACTACTAATTAGGCAACAATTTTGGACAAATCATGTTATGTCTGTATTTCTACAAAAAACGGATTGTGTCGGATGTTCTCTAGAGTCTGTTATAGTAACATAGTTCCTTGATTCTGAATATAGAGGTTCACTCACATAATCTGAGGTGGATGCACAGTGAAGCCAATAAAACTTGAACTCACACTGAAGCTAATAAAACTTAAAGTTTTAAAGTTTTAAAGTTTAAAAAGTTTAAAGTTTTCAAAGTTTTTAAAGTTTAAACTTTTAAGTTTAAGTTTTAAGTTAAAGAACTTCCACTTTTGCAAGAGTACCTTCTGAGGCCCTGTACCTGATTATGTATTTGCAGTTTCATTTTCTTTTTCTTTAAGAGGGTTCCCCATATTTTAAAAGTTTCAAGTCCCACAACCGTGGTCCCGAATCTGCATATAACATATATAGGTTTTGCAGAAAAGTATAAATGCATGAGATCAAGTTCATTCTATCATCTGTATATATTTCTAAAGTCTTTTTTAGCAACATGTACAAAAATAAATTCATAAAATGCATATGACAAATGTGTTATTTAATATAAGAACATCTCCTTCTTTCCACCACTTACAGTAAGCACATGACCCCTGAAGAAGTAATGAAGAACACTTAAATGAATTGGAATTTGAAGACCCTAATCTCTTCTTAACTATATCCATCTATAGATTTTCTTGCTATAATAGACAATGAGCAATGTTTACTTGGCACAGACATAGTTTTCCCTTGGTCTGGAATGTTCCACCTTTAGAGTCTATATGGCTTTTATTTTATTATTATTTTTTTTGTAATTAGCCTCCTGATGAATGTCAACTAAAATACGAGGCATTTTTTTTCACAGAAGAAAAAAAAAGTTTATCCTACATGGTTTTAGTCAAAAATATCTTAACAGTATTCCATAATAGCAATATTTAAAAGTGTGAAAGAATTAATAACTTACAAATAGAAAATAGTGTAAAACTTCTTATTTTATTATACCATGCTTTCTTTATGTAAAGTTTTATGTAGTATATGTAACTCTGACCCTACAAAATGTTTCCTGAAATCAGCATTTATAATAGGGTTGCAATGGAGTTGATCTTCAGGTTACCAAATAGTTAGCAGTACACTTTAGCTCAACTTTTTAACCAATGGTACTTCAAATTAATTTTTAATGTTATTTTGATTTATCATCAGGCATAAGGTCCCTCAAAACAGCTGGGCCTGGAAGGGACAGTGTTAATGACTCTGCCATCAGCTCAGCAGCTGCTTGGAGGCAAGCATTTTGTTGTACCAATGTTGACACCCTGCCACAAAATGCTTTTACTGACTGCTGCACACCTGGAGAGCGGCTGTAAAAACAGCTGGCTTGCTCTGGAGGCAGCTAGAAGAAAACACATAGGCTAAATTCTATTACATGTAAGTGTGAGTAAAGTCAGGCTTTCCTTCCCAGAGGGGAAGAAAAGGAGAAAGAGAAGAAACATAAACATTGCTGAGAAACTCACTATTCAAAGATGAGGGAACACCTTATAAAAGTGTTCTAGCATAATATAGAATTAGCATAATCCTAGAAAACTGGATAAAGATAAGACTTATGGATAATTTCACTAATAGGTACCTATTGAAATCACTGATTTGTTGTTTATTGCTGTACTTACTCTGTAATATCTTCACAAATTCAACCTACTAATCTATGATATTTAAAATATACTAATGTAAAATTCATAATAAATTGATGACTTATATAATAAGTTTAACACCAGAATTTCCATTATATTTCCAAGGGCCCAATTTGTGATCTAAGTTCTAAAAAAATAGCTATGAATGACAATTTAGAAAAGAAATAGATATGTGATAATATAACTGTGTTTTTGCCAGTTCCTAATACCATTTATTACACTCTAGAGTAAATAAAATTAACATCTATCTCTTGAATTTGAGAACACTTGGCTAGAATCGTTTAAATCCAGTCTATCTTTAAAACTGGTGTTCTTTATACGGTCCAGAGAAGCCTGAAAAACTATGGCTAAGAAGAGTTTATTCCCATAAAGCAACTAAAGTCATGTTATCCTAAAGTGATATCAGTTAATTTATGACTATCAGAGTGGGTCAGACTCTAATCAAATTGTAGAAACATTTCCAAAGTGATTATTCAATCAAATGACTAACATGGTTAATTAGGAGCCATAAACATTGCTCTGAAGTTCATCAAAGTAATGACTTGCCCAGAAAAATTACTGCTAATTAAATTGCCTGCTGCTTTCATTTCTACCTTATCTAATAAAAAATCCAACCAATGAAGTTTGGCATTACATTTTAACTTGCTAAATGCTCAACTGAGATCCAAACTAGCTGAGCAGTGGCTTCAAAGGCAAATGGCAACTTCAAAGGCAAATGCATTGTGTCAGGGAATGGAGGCATTGCATATGTATTCCCTTTTGTCTTTCCATGGAATAAATCTTACAAAATTCAGAAAGAATGATAAACTGTAGTTTAACCTACACAAAAAAGTTGAGATGACAGCATATTTACATTACCCTATTATGCATCTATGGATAATAATTTTAGGATCATTAGAACAGCACAATGGTTACAAATATGTACCTTGTCATCAAATAGACCTGGTTTTGAATCTCAGTTCTGACATTTTGTGGGTGCATCACATTTAGTTAGTTATTTAACATCTCTCACTCTTAACCTCTTCATCTGCAAAATGGGAATAACAATAGTGATATCTTTCAAAGAGTTGCTGGGAGGACCATATGGGGTAAGTCATGTGCAACATTCCCACAGTACCTGCACCCAATATAAGTCAACTTATGGTACTTATTATTAATAACAATCTATTTTTAATTGATCCTCACAAGAATTTAAACTGAGTGAACCACATTTTTTAAAACAAAAAGTAATCATGTAACTAAATAAGTTACTTTTGTTATCTTAATTTGCTATTTTTAAATCACATATCACATGACATGGCTGATTTGTTCCTTATTAGTGTATTTATTCTGGATTGTTTTTCACAAATCTGTCTATTATAATCTATGACATTTCAAATATACTGATTCTAATTCATTATTAATTTATGATTTACAAGATTTAAGCCAGAATCTCCATTAGATTTTTTAAATACTTGGGGGTACATCTTTTGGACTTCTTTTCACAATATTACCCTCTGATTTTTGTTCCTAAATGACACTGTCTTACAAAGTTCTAAATTTAATCTATAAATTGAATTATGTAAATTTGATTTAGGACAAAGGATTTTTATTTACTTCAAAACCTGTGGATCAAAGAGCTTTATAACATGATGTTAGTACTGGCCAAATCAGCTTGCAGAAATTAAACTGCCTATAATTTGTTACAGATGAGTTCATGGTGATGAAAGCTGATCTAATATACTGCAAAAATTCAAAGCATCAAAGCATTGCTGTCATTTTAATGTACTGGCCAATGTAGGGGAAGTCAAGGAAGAAGAAGAAACTAACACTACAAATTACCCGATTTGATTAGTCCTTACCTTTAGTAACACTACTAAAGTTCTCCTCAAATTAAAATAAGTGGGCAAAAAACTAAAAAAAAAATAATAAAATAAAAATAAGTTACTTTCTCTGTCTCTTGACTTGCATTTTAAAGTTGTGCTGGGAAACATAATACTGATTTGGGAAGGTTTACCAAGGGTTTAACCACAAAGTGCAATTTTGAATTTGTACATGTGAAACTGTTAGGCACTCTCTGATTTGTATATTTGCTGCCCAGTTGGAAGAATGAAGATTCTCCTTTAGGACACGGTTTGCCTTAGTTTCCAGGAGCTACATCAGACCAGAGCAGAGAGAAAAGATTTGCCACGATTGTCTGAGACATCTCTAGAGATTGTTGAAATGCTTTGTTATCAAATAATGTGCAAACCTGGAATTATTTCCTTTTGTAAACTCTAAACAAGGGGGACAAAAAAACAAGCCTCTTTCATTTGTGCTTCTGGTTAAATTCCTGTAGCAATAATCAGTGTGTAACTTAATTAAACACTCAAATCTCTTGAAGTAAATAAGAAATCCAGTAAAATAGGAATAAGTTTGATGTTGTATTTTAATGTGGTTTTGCTTTCATATAAGTGTACAATGCAAATTTGGATTGACTATACACTTGACTAACTCCTTGCAGAGGTGATATGACAAAATCAAATCCATGTAAATTTGTGTATTGTATA